GACGAAGACAAACAGGAGTTCTTAGAGCACATCGTAGATTGCAAACTCAACCACAACGTGAAGATAAGAGTTTCGCCAGTAGGTTTTCCAACTTCAATGGAAACATTGGTAGAGAAACTCAAGTCAATATACATACCGAAAGACACAGTTCCAATTCTCTTACAAAAAATAAGTGAAATTAGGCAAGGCCACAACCAGTCGATCACGGAATATAGTGATAAAATGGCCAAACTATTGTCAGACCTGAATACAGCGTCTCTATTAAAGAGAAATTATAGCGCAACCTCACCACAAGCTGAAGGGATGCTAGCAACTAACGAAGAGAATGTATTACTGGCATACAAAAAAGGCCTCAATGCAACATATTCGCAAGCTGTACAGATGTCACAGCCCAAAACTTTCCAAGAAGCGAGAGAAATCGCTGAAAGTTTACTTTTCACTGAACAGAACCAAAGAATGCTATACTACCGTGGTAACACGCCAAATGGCAATAGACCAAATGGCAATAAACTTAGTGGCAACTGGTCCAATAACAATAACAATTATAATAATAATAATAACAATCGAAATAACCGGTACTATAACGGAAATAACCGATATAACAATAGAAATACATATAATAATAGTGGTCAAAGAAACCACAACAATCAAAGTAACAACAACTCAAATAGGAATCAAAATAATTCTCTTAACAGTAACAACAGGAATGTCCAAATAAATCGAAGTAACAACAATAACAACTGGAGATAAATCAACAATTGAAACAACAACAGAAACAGAAACGGAAGGAACATTCGTTTAACAGCAGCACAGGAAAACTGCAACACACCAGAGGGAAACCAGTAGAATTCACCTCTGGTAAAATAAAAAAATATATCTACTCATTCAACCCACATGCATCGAACTATATAAAAGTTCATTGCCAAGACACTAACAACTACATAAAATTATTAATCGACACAGGAGCAGATGTGTCACTAATCAAAAACAAGTTTAATCTAAATTATAATTCGAATAAAACATGTACATTATCTGGTATCACAAACAACTATATAAATTCCATAGGCATCACGACTCTTCATATGATGTTTGAAAATATAAATTTAAAGCATGAATTTTCGGTGGTGGAAGAGGATTTTCCAATTGAAGTAGATGGCATCATCGGTAGAGATTTCCTAACCATTTTTAAATGTAATATTGATTATTACACTTTTTCGTTAACAGTTACCCACAATGAACAACAGATAACTATTCCCATATCATATAAACCAATTGTTCTACAAGCAAGAACAGAACATATATTACCTATAGACATGTATTTCGATGATGATAAATTGTTGATTTCTCAAGAAATTGACAAAGGTGTTTTCATTGCAAATACAATGCTACCAGCAAGAGGAAACTGCCATATTCGAGTTTTGAACACGAATGAACACAGTGTTACTCTAAATACACTAAATTTTAAAACCCGTCCTTTGAACGAGTATTATAAAGTTAATAAAGACCCTTGTAACAAATATAATGAATCACGTTCACAAAAACTTTTAAATAAATTACAAATAGGAACGCAACATAACAAATGTGACGATAAGGAACTTACCTCACTGGTAACTAAATTTCAACATATATTCTTGATGGAAGGAGAACAAATATCCTGCAACAATTTCTACACAGAACATATTTCAACTTCAGATAATGTGCCAACATACATCAAAAATTATAGACTACCACATAGTCATAATGATGTTGTTAAATCGTAAGTCCAAAAATTACTTGACGATGACATAATACAACCCTCTAAAAGCCCATACAATTCACCAATCCTACTCGTACCCAAGAAATCATCAGATGATGAGAAGAAATGGAGACTCGTAATCGATTACAGAAAACTCAACAACAAAATAATAAATGACAAATTTCCTCTAACACGCCTTGAAGACATACTAGACTTGCTTGGTAAAGCAAGGTATTTTTCAACTTTGGATATGACTAGTTCATTTCACCAAATTCCCATTGATAACTCATCACGACAAAAAACTGCATTTTCGACCATCAATGGTCATTATGAATTTAAAAGACTACCTTTCGGTCTAAAAATAAGTTCAAACAGTTTTCAACGAATGCTAACCTTAGCGTTAACAGGCCTTGAAAACGAAGCATTTCTATATGTCGATGATATCATTGTTTTTGGCAACAGCCTAAAACACCACAATATCAATCTAGAAAAAGTCTTCAAGAGATTAAGTGATTGCAATTTAAAATTAAATCCTGAAAAATGCAACTTCCTAAAACACGAAGTTACATATCTAGGACACATAATCACTGAACATGGCGTCAAAACAGACCCAGCCAAATATAAAGTCATTCAAAATTATCCTAAACCTACGAACGTAGATGAAGTTAGGAGATACATTGCTTTCTGTAATTACTACAGACGTTTTATCAAAGATTTTGCATCAATATCAAAACCTTTAAATTCGTTATTAAAAAAGAATCAAAAATTCGTATGGAATACTGAATGTGAAATAGCATTCGAACGTCTTAAATCAACCCTAATGAGTCCTCCTGTATTGAAGTATCCAGACTTCGATAAACCGTTCATAATAACAACGGATGCCTCTGACTATGCACTTGGTGCGGTACTTTCTCAAGGTAATGTTGGTTCAGATTTGCCAATTTGCTACGCAAGCAAAGCCTTACAAAAACACGACTTAAACAAGCCAGTTATTGAAAAGGAACTACTTGCGATACATTGGGCAATAAACTACTTTAGACCATACATATATGGCAAACATTTTTATGTTGTAACTGACCACAGACCCTTGATTTCATTATTCGTGCACAAGAATCCTTCGTCAAAAATGACGAGGATTCGAATCGATTTATCAGATTATGATTTTGAAATAATCTACAAAAAAGGAAAAATTAATACTAACGCTGATGCCCTGTCTAGAATAAAAATAGACAGTAATATTTTAAAAAATTTGATACCTACTAATGAAGACAAGATGTCCAGTCGGAAATTGAAAAATCCAGACGAAGATGAAGAAACAATAAGTAATGTTAAAGAAATATCGCAAATATGTATAACGACTAGAAGTAAAACGCGCGCTGCAGCTACCACAGGTACCGCTGCCAATAAAACTACCAATAAGAATACACAAAAAGAGACAAAACCAACTGAGCCTGATCAACTCTATTGTTGGGATTGTACTTCTATTAGTGATATTCGAGGTATGAGAACACTGCAGTTTAAAATTGTAAATAAGAATAAGGATGCATTCATACGTTATGATGACAAAAAAGTCACAGTGGAATTATGCGAAATACCTCCGAAGCCGATTTCGACCATGGTGAAGCTAATTTCGAAACTAGAAGAATTGAATATAACAATGCTAGCGCTAAGCGATAATGACATAATAATTAAATCCATGGATAAAACTAAATTTAAAGAAATAATTAATAAGTTGCAACGAGAGAAGAAAAATGAAAGTCGATATAAACTAAATATATTGTTATACAAGAAACCAGAAAACATTACGGACATCATGAAGAAATACAGATTAATAGAGGAATATCACGACAATCCTCATAGCGGGCATCTAGGAGTTCGCAAAACTTTTACAAAATTAAAACAAAAATATACATGGAAAAAAATGAAACAGATGGTTCATAAATACATTACCACTTGCGAAAAATGCCAACAAAACAAACAAATCCGTCACAGTCGAGAAGAATTTCAAATAACCACAACCCCTCATATAACTTTCGAAACAGTACAAATCGACACTGTTGGACCTTTAAGACCAGCGAACGGTTATAGGTATATATTAACTATGCAATGTGAATTAAGTAGATTCATAATTGCATACCCAATGATTAATAAAGATGCTATATCCATAGCCAAAACATTAGTAGAGCAACTCATACTAAAGTTCGGTTCCTTTAGGATTCTAAAATCAGACCGAGGTACAGAATTTTTGAATGATTTGTTAGCTAAAGTTACTGATATTATGGGAATTAAACAAATATTTTCAACCCCATATCATCATGAAACACTTGGTACAGTAGAAAGGAATCATAGAGTTCTAAACGAATACCTACTAAACTTTGCTGATGATAACGACTGGAACGTTTGGTTACCGTACTATACTTTTGCGTACAATACTGCCCGCCACTCTGATACAGGTTACATACCACA